CAGTACGGCATGGGTTTCGACACGCCCTCCCACCCCCCTCCATGCTCCCCACTCCCCTCACCACCCCCTCGCCCCTCCAGGACCCCTGAACGCCCCTGCATCACCGTGAGGTGTACGGCAACGCAGTACGGCATGGGTTTCGACACGCCCTCCCACCCCCCTCCATGCTCCCCACTCCCCTCACCACCCCCTCGCCCCTCCAGCACCCCTGAACGCCCCTGCATCACCGTGAGGTGTACGGCAACGCAGTACGGCATGGGTTTCGACACGCCCTCCCACCCCCCTCCATGCTCCCCACTCCCCTCACCACCCCCTCGCCCCTCCAGCACCTCTGAACGCCCCTGCATCACCGTGAGGTGTACGGCAACACAGTACGGCATGGGTTTCGACACACCCTCCCACTCCCCTCCATGCTCCCCACTCCCCTCACCACCCCCTCGTCCCTCCAGCACCTCTGAACGCTCCTGCATCACCGTGAGGTGTACGGCAACGCAGTACGGCATGGGTTTCGACACGCTCTCCCACCCCCCTCCATGCTCCCCACTCCCCTCACCACCCCCTCGTCCCTCCAGCACCTCTGAACGCTCCTGCATCACCATGAGGTGTACGGCAACGCAGTATGGCATGGGTTTCGACACGCCCCCGCCCGCCCCCCTTCATGCTCCCCACTCCCCCCACCACCCCCTCGCCGCTCAAGCTCCTCTGACCACCCCTGTCGTACAGCGACTTTGTACGGCATGGCTTCAGGCACCGCGTATCACCAATCTTCTTGTTGCAATATCTTGCATTGTGATCTCGACTAAGCCATAACTGAATTAATGAGCCATTCGCAGTTTCTTGGTTACTTTCCTAAATCAGCGTCAAACTGTTTGGTGACCGTGACCACCCCCCTCCATGCTCCCCACTCCCCTCACCACCCCCTCGTCGCTCTGGCTCCTCTGACCACCCCTGTCGGATAGCGACACGGTACGGCATGGGTTCGGGCACCACGTATCACCAGTCTTCTTGTTGCAATATCTTGCATTGTGATGTCGACTAAGCTATAACTGAGTTAATGAGCCATTCGCAGTTTCTTGGTTACTTTCCAAAATCAGCGTAAAACGGTTCGGTGACTGTGACCACCCCTCTCCAAACTCCCTATTCCCCCCACCACCCCCTCGCCGCTCTAGCTCCTCTGACCACCCCTGTCGTACAGCGACTTTGTACGGCATGGCTTCGGGCACCGCGTATCACCAATCTTCTTGTTGCAATATCTTGCATTGTGATCTCAACTAAGCTATAACTGAATTAATGAGCCATTCGCAGATTCTTGGTTACTTTCCAAAATCAGCGTCAAACTGTTTGGTGACCGTGGCCACCCCCCTCCATGCTCCCCACTCCCCTCACCACCCCCTCGTCGCTCTGGCTCCTTTGATCACCCCTGTCGTACAGCGACACGGTACGGCATGGCTTCGGGCACCGCGTACCACCAATCTTCTTGTTGCAATATCCTGCATTGTGATGTCGACTAAGCTATAACTGAATTAATGAGCCATTCGCAGTTTCTTGGTTACTTTCCAAAATCAGCGTAAAACTGTTTGGTGACCGTGACCACCCCCCTCCATGCTCCCCACCCCCCTCACCACCCCCTCGTCGCACTGGCTCCTTTGAACACCGTCGTGAAGTCGGCGCATCTCCTGAAAAGCGTCGATTACTGATCGCCGAAAACTGTAGTTGATCGGCGATTGCTGATCGGCGAATGCTGTCAGGGGAGATCGCCGTGAAAGCTCTTTAGATTTCGGCACAATTGGCCTGGCATTGGCAAAAATCTTTCGGCGTGATTTGCAAGCTGGTCTCGGCGAGAAGCACGGTCGTGAAGTCGGCGCATCTCCTGAAAAGCGCTGATTGCTGATCGCCGAAAATGATCGCTTTTTTGGTGATCACTGACCCACGGGTCATGAGACGTCGCCCTCATGCGCAGATGTGTGTGTGTGTGTGTGTGTGTGTGTGTGTGTGTGTGTGTGTGTGTGTGTGTGTGCATGTAGTGCGCAGGTAGCGAGGCTCTACCTGTATATGTTGGTACAGAACAAGGGCTTTTCGTGCCTTGGACACGCCAACATGCCGTAGGGCAGCCCCAAGAGGTCACCGATAGCGGAAAACGTCCGGAGGCGCCCCAAAATTTGAATTTGAAGCAGTTCGACGCCATGCCGTACATGTACGCCATGCCGACTATTGCTTTCGAACATGAGCCGCACGCTGACATCAGGTCCGCCGACCATGCTTGTCTGCAACACATGAGCAACCTCACAACACTGGTCGGCGCGCCAATGTTAGTTAGGTCCAAGCTTGTTCGTTCGCGGATTCATCACCAATCAGGATTTACGGTACCCCCGGCCGCGGCGACCACGACGCGGCGCTATCTGTCTGTGACCGTAAATCCCCCCGTAACGAAGTGGAGGGGAGGATTGGAGGACAGATCACCGCTAAAGTTCGTCTGTCTGTCCGTCCGTCTGTCTGTCCGTCCGTTCACAAAAGGGGTGGCAACTTCCTTTGAGCGCTAAGCGTTCAGTCCTGTTTTCAGCCAGCCAGAGGTCTCCAGTTCGAGCCAGGTAGCGACCTCTTTGCGACTTCCTCGGCACCCTTGGAGATGATGCCTGGGCCTATGGGGGTGGTGTTTTGGGAGATCTCGAGTACGACAACACACTGTACGGCAGCAAACTGTACGGCACGGTTGCCATGCTGTGTGATGACACATCATGTGGTGTACGACATGTACGACTATGTACGACAGCTGTAAGGCAGTGTACAACAACTGCCGTACGGTTGTACGGCATCTGTACGACATGGGTTTTGACACGGCCTCACATCCCCCTCCATGCTCCCCACTCCCCTTCTCGTCCCCTCGTCCCTCCAGCTCCTCCGACCGCCCCTGCATCACCGTGAGGTGTACGACAACGCAGTACGGCATGTGTTTTGGCACGCCCTTCCACCCCCCTCCATGCTCCCCACTCCCCTCATCACCCCCTCTTTGCCGCAATGTCTTGCATTGTGGTGTCGACTAAGCTATAACTGAATTAATGAGCCATTCGCAGTTTCTTGGTTACTTTCAGAAATCGGCGTAATTCTGTTTGGTGACCGTGGCCACCCCCCTCCGTACTCCCCACTCCCCTCACCACCCCCTTGTCGCTCCAGCACCTCTGACCACGCCTGTCGTATAGCAACACGGTACTGCATGGGTTCGGGCACCATCGGCACCAACACTCGTCATGCCTGGCATCATCAGGATGGTGTCCTGAGGTGTGGTGCCGTACAGCAACACAGTATGACATTGGTTTCGACATGCTCTTCCACCTCCCTCCATGCTCCCCACTCCATCTCTTTGTTGCAAGGTCTTGCATTATGATGTCGACTAGGCTATAAGTGAGTTAATGAGCCATTCGCAGTTTCTTGGTTACTTTCCGAAATTGGCGTAAAACCGTTTGGTGACGGAATATTAGTTGGCAGAAGTCTTTTGCTCAGGGTGGCATTGGTTACTTTCCAACTGAGCTATAAAAAGAGCTATAAAAAGCTCTAAAACTGTTTCGGCAATTGATTTGGATACGGCGAAGCAAAATCGGCGCAAGCTGTAAGCTGGTTTCGGCGACAAGCATTGTCGTGAAGTCGGCGCGTCTGACGAAAAGCGCCGATTACTGGTCGCCGAAGATTAGGGTTTATCGGCGATTACTGATCGGCGAATGCTGTCAGGGGTGATCGCCTCGAAAGCTTCTTATATTTCGGCGCAATTTGCCTGGCATTGGCGAAATTCTTTCGGCGCAATTTACAAACTGGTTTCGGCGATTACTAATCGCCAAAATTTGCCTGGCGTCGGCGAAAGTCTTTCGGCGCAATTTGCAAGCTGGTTTCGGCGAGAAGCGCGGTCCTCGAGTCGGCGCAATTTGCCTGGCATCGGCGAAATTCTTTCGGCGCAATTTGCAAGCTGGTTTCGGCGATTACTGTTCGCCGAAATTTGCCTGGCGTCGGCGAAGGTCTTTCGGCGCAACTTGCAAGCTGGTTTCGGCGAAAAGCACGGTCGTGAAGTCGGCGCATCTCCTGGAAAGCGCCGATTACTGATCGCCGAAATTTATATTCGTGTTGACCGTTCCATCATTCCGGCGCACCATTCCGAAACATGCTGCGATCTGCCCGTGTGTATATGTACGTCAGCATTGTCCGTTCGCTATAAATAATCAGTTGTCTTTATTTTTAACTCTCCTCGTGCTTGGCGGTTTCTATACTAGTGCCTTTTGGTTCCTTTCTGTGTCCTTCGCGATGTCGGCCGAGAAGAGGTGGGTGATAGCTTGCTTTTCTTTCTAGCATTGCCTTATGCGTCCTGAATGCCGTCGCATTTCCATTTTCGTAGGCACAACGAGAGTCTGTCACCTTCCAAGGTGAAGCGACAGGAGACGATGTCTCCATCCGGGTGAGTTGAAAGCGGAAATGGCGGCGAATCATGGTGACAATCCTAGTTATCTGTTAAACTTGGCTGTTTTGTCGCATTGTCGTGTCTGTGTTGTTTGTTGGGACCCTGATAGGCGCGTCCATTCCGTTGCATCCTTGCTTGTTTTATATGCGAACCCTCGGCACTACAAATGCCTATCCGGTGAAGCATACCGACATGCCTTCTCGGCATCTTTTGTTGGAGCCATTCTGAGCCATTGCGCCGTGGCATTATGTGATCTGCAGCTAGGTTATTAGGAATATTATCTTGGTTGCATTTGACATTGTTTGCATGTAGTTGCACTAGCCAAATTCTTCGTTGACCCATGGGTCTTCTTTATGTTAACATCGCTGGTTGCTCTCCCGTTTCGTCTCAGGGCGTCGTCTGCGGCAAGCGCCATTGCCGGCAGCCCCAGGCTCCTCCGACGGCTTGTGGCGTTCCAGCCGACACTGGCTTTTGCTCCGCAGGACAGCTTGGATTACGCAGTCAGGGACAGCCATTGCGTGTTGATCGGGCCTGCCGTACCAGGTGCCGACGATGGCGACATCTCCATGTCGGCGGTTGCGCTAGAGGTCAGCGGTTCCTGCATTGAACGCTTCCGTGACGCGCTCGGCAACATTGTCACCGTCGACCCGGTGGTGGGTGCGGCCATCCAGTCGACAAGGCCTCTTGCACGTCTGTCGCAGCTGTCCTACGTGCAGCTGCATACGGATGGACTGGCGAATGTGGTGGTGAGTTAATTGTTTCGGGATAGTGACTTCGGGTCGTGTTTCGTGTCATCATGTGTGGGTTACAGCCCTCCTGATTGCAAGTGTTCCCGTTGAGTCTAACATTCGGATTTCCTGGTTATGTACCTTTTGCCTATGCAATAGGTGGAACCCACTGATCGGTTCATCGAGCTCGGCCCTCATGACGTGCGGATACTGCCCAATCCACCTGTTAACGACAACCCCAACGTCGCCAACCTCGCCCCGACGCTCATGGTCCCGTACGGCACGTTCACTGAGTACGTCGGCAACGGGGAGACGTACAAGAAGGTGGACGCCATGATCGCCGTCCAAGACGTTTCCGGACCGGTGCCTTTGCCTTTCAAGGTATCCCTGAAGGCGCGTGCTGCTGCCCTTCCTTCCGCGATGGAGCGACTGCTGCAGAGCGCAGCCTCCCAGCAGCTGCCACTGTACGCGAACGGGTTCCATGAGCGCAAGAACCCCACGTACGGAGGTGAGGCCCTTTGGCTGCTTGCCTTGCTTTGTCATGTGGCTCTTTATTGCTTTATTCGTTCTTCGTTATTGCATTGGCGACTGTCCAGCTTCACTCGTACATTTGCGATAGTCCTTAGTTTTCTTCATAGCCGCCGCGTAATTTCATCGAATGTAGTCATGTTGCTTCACCGTCACCATCACCATCACCCTCGTTCTCCAACCCAAATCCACCGTAGGAACCATGTGGATCAACAACACCTACTTCTTCGGCGCCCCCGTTACGCGCCGGGTTCAGCCATTCCTGGAGAGGGCTAACGCCGCCATCGCTGCTGCGGGTAACCCTGTCCCGGTTGCGTGGACGAGCCGCCTGGCGCAGGAGTGGGACGCAACCATCGAGTCGGCACTTCCGCAAGTACGTTTGCGACGCTTTGCATCCGTCTCGTTTCTTTGTTTCATGCAATATCGTTACGAAATCCTTCGAATTCCTTTACCGATCAACCCAATCGATCATGCTCAATCTGATCCTATGGGCCATTACATCTCATTAATGACGATCCGTTCCTTCATACAGTTTACAAACTTGCTGATTGCCAGTCAATGGTTGAGGACTGCCTTTCACCTTGTACGGCTTAACGATCGCGGGTATCTTCTCTCGTTGCATCAATGCAGGACGGAGTGATGGAGAACGCCTCCGTCCAGCCTCTGATCGTCAGGCCCGTGCTTGGCGAGGCCCACGTTTTCCCGATGGCCCTCACTCACCAGGGTCGCCACTACGCGGTGTACGCTGACACCCTGGATGTCCTCCGCCACGTCCCCGGTTACGTCCAGGAGTTCGGCGACGTCGACATTTCGGAGGTGCCGCAGCGGTCCCTGTCCCGCTTCCTGCAGGAGCCGTTCGATCTGCATGTCGACGTGGATATCCGGACCATTGACCGCCACACCCGGATCGTCCGCATGACGCCGCGATAGTAGGGTAGTTGATTGATGCCCGTGCGGTCGTTATGTTTGTCTCGGCAGGGACAACTACATGCGGAGTACCATGAAGTGCGGGGCAGTGTTGCGTCAGGTGTCGCTGACATGTCGAATGGTCCCTTCTGGATGGATTGCTGTTGTCGTACACACTGCTATCCCCACCGTCTGTACGGTATAAGAAATGGAATGTTGGTGTGGCCGTGTTGATAAGAAATGGAATGTTTTGGTGTGGCCGTACATGTTGCTGTCTTTCCGTACATTCTGCTGTGTCTACCGACCGCATGTGCCTATAGGAAATGGACCGAATGACAAGGTGCGTCGGTGGTGCATGTGATGTGCTGCGTCGTTGCCTGATGCGTATGCCCATACTATCGTTTCAATACATTGTCTCCGTAAGGACTGCCGTTTGGGGATATTGGATACGTTTGCATTCGAACGTTGTTATTCGATCGCAGCCCTTGCATGCCGTTTTTTTCTTACTTTCTGTGGGTCGGTGAGGTCGCACCTGCTGCTATCCTTCTGTACATTCTGCTTTCTGTGTCGTTGACGGTTGAATGGATGACATGGGGCACCGATGATATGGGTGACATAGACCGTCACAGCATGATAGCAGCTCCATCACGCAATAGGTCTGTACGGGTTGCATGAACTGGACAGCAATTGCCACACCCAATTATGATGTAACAGACAAGAAAAGCTTCGGTACTTACATCCATCACCTCGCTATCCACTAGCTAGCCCCAATTAATACGATCCATAACCGTCGCTGTACCGTTCAGCAGCCATCATCATGCACAACTCTATCGTACACATGTAGTTGTGCTTCCGCTTTCAGACAATCACCTGCGCCGGAAACACGGCAACATGTACGGCCTTACCATGTGCACATGCGGCGATCCCACAACCTTACCGACGGTTCCAATCATCACCGACATGCAACGTCTACTACCAAGTTGCGCCAATTCAATCCAAAAGGGCCCGTTAAACATTTAAGAAGACACAGCTTAACAGCGACGTCGCCGGATCTCTGTTATGTGGTGAGACATGTACAGCAACGTCGCCCAATCCATGCAATTGCAGCATGCAACGGCAACGGCACCCGTTCCAACGTTACCCAACTCGCCGACTCGCCAACTCGCACATCGCCAACTCGCCAACTCGCCACATGCAACTTGCCGCCTCACCCGTTGTAGCCCCCACACGCATGCAAGCATCCCCGCTTTAATCCCCCCGCATATTGTGCAAGCTCTACACACCCCCTCGCGTCATACATTAGCACAGACACAGCCCGGCACATGTGCAAAGTAAAGCAAACAATACTCTCATGCCGCTACCCAATACTCTCATGCCGTTACCTCAACACTCTCATACCGTTACCCAACTTGCGTAATGCAAACCCGGTTAAACATATCCCAGCGTATCCATGCTAGTGCATGCGTGTAATGCTACATGCATGCTTATCCCTTCCTGTCTTTTCCGCCGCCTGCTTCCTTCTTACGCCGCTCTCTCTTCCCTTCCTTAACCTCCTCATCTTCCCCCTCCAGACCAACCCGAGATCCCGTCCCCTCTGCACCGTTTCGAGTTTGGAAGATGTATTCCGTCCGCGGCCGTGCCAGGACCGCGCTCTCAGCAGCTGCATGCGCCGCGTCCGCCGCCGTGCGAGCCTCGGCCTCACTCGCCGGCGGAATCTCGGACAGGACAGCATTGAACGCATGTTGCGTGGCGTCCGCGGGCGTTGAGGAAAGCCGAGTCATTCTGCCGTGCCACTCCTCGATGAGCTCCCGTGCCCGCCTAAACCTCGGCAGCTTCTGGGGGTCTGCCGGCAGCCTCCAATCAGGTCTCGGTGAAGCAGCCGAGAACAGCCCTTCCGGCAACCGACGCAATGGACGGCCGCCGACTTTAGCCCAGCCTGCCAGAAGCCGATGGATTGACACCACCACCAGGCCTGTCAAACCGGGCGTCGTCGGCGAGTCAACGTCCTCGCTGAACAGAAGGTCATCATCCGCCGGCGCGCCCTCCATTGGAAACCATACAACAGCATGGCAGTTAAACGCGGCTGTGTCAAGAGATTCCTGCCCCGCGTGCCGGTGAAACGCCGTCTTAAGGTCGAAGATCCGCTGGAGGGCGTCGTCTGTTTCTGAACAGCTGTCACATAAGCACAGAACCGGCACAGAGTAGCCTCCCCATCCATGCTCTGAGTGGCCACAGATGACGACACCTGCCCGTGGCTGGATGCCAGTCTTCTTTACGTCGCTCACCACTATAGTGCCCGGTGGCAGCAGGTTTCCAACCACCGCCGATGTGAACCGCCCGGTCTTTGGAGGGCCCCACACGGCACGAAACGGTAACGGCGGCGGCAGCTGCGCAAGGACCTTGCCCGCCCGGCTGCGCGTTACCGCAAAGTCAAACATGTTGACCGCTGGTATGTTATCATCATCCATCTGCACCGTCAGCGGCGTGCTTCCGGTCGCGCTGGCATATGCTGCCCGCCGTTCGTCCTCCGTTGCGTTAGGCTGCCTCGTCGCGTTCAGGCGGAAAGCTGAAGCTATGTGGCTCACCAAACCCTCCAGCTCGTTAAATGGGAAGGGTATAGGGCCCGCAGTACGTGCGTGCGCAGAAACGGCCGCTTGCTTGCCTGTCGTCGCCGTCCCCACCTCCCCTTCCTCCTCCACCTCCTTCCCCTTCCGCTTACGCCCCTGGCTGCTAGGAGATCCACCCGCCAGCGCCTGCCGCGTAACAGCAGCGGCGCCGCCAGCAGGAGAGGCTGCCGCCGAGCGGTTGTCGTACAAAAGACCGGGCCGCCCTGCCTCGACAAGAGCGGCATGGATGCCAGCGGCCTCCCGCAACAGCTCCTCTTCGTAATCGCTGCTCATCCGCGGCACTCGCTGGGTGCTGATCACCTCATTCAGCACCTCCTGCACCGTCGCCTCGAACACAAACACAAACTCCTCGTTTGACAACGGCTGCTCACTAGTTCCGCTGCTGCTGACCGCTTGCAGACGAGCCCATGCGCCGACGTCCATCAGGATTCGCTTGTCCGGCCCGAACCCCACTGTCTGAGTTAGCATTAGGTACTCGTCTGACCTGAATTCCTTCTGGACATTACCGCTGATGTTGCTGTTAACTTTGGACAGGTCGCCTGCTGTTTCCATAGCCTTCGCACCGACATCAAGTACAATGCTATCCACATGCACGTCGCATGGCTTGTACTCATCTGCTGCAGGGAGACGTACGAAGGCTATATCGTCGTCCTCCTTCCGCATCACCCTGCTCTCCGTGACGATACACCAGCCACGTGCTGCCAGATGCCACACGCCGCTCTCCGGTGCATCCCTGATTCGCAAGCACGGAACATGCTGACCCGTCCGGCATGTGCTCACTGTGCAAGGACTGCACCGGAGAGACGCGCGCGCTCCGCCGGTGGCGACAACGGCCTCGGCGTCGGCAGCAACGCCCACATCAGCGCCAGTCTGAACGGCGGTACCACCGCTAGCTGCAGCGGCAGCGCTAGCACCGGCGGCAGCATCTGCACCAGCCGTGGCAACTGCTGCAGCGCCACCTACAGCGCTGTCACTTCCGTACGAATAAGACCGTCCCCAAAACCTCTGCAACCACGTGACACGGCAGCGGGTATCCGTCAGGGCACCGATGTCACAGTCCGTGTCACATGGAACCAAACAAGCGACAAGCATAACAATGAAGTCAGCATCGGCAAAGTTTTTTCGGCGCAATTTGCAAGCAAATGTTTCTTGCTACAACTGCCACCTTGTCGTCGCAACGCGGCTATGGTCACAGCGCATGCCTGGCATCGCAACGAATTCTTTCCCAACTATCGTTTCGCTTCTCAACTACTTTTACCTTTCTATTCCAATTTATAAACATGTACGCGAACATCAACCTTCCTCTGGAAAATCATCCCTCGTTTCCGTTACTCACCGCTGAATTGTCCGTTTCCACCAACTCCACTTGTGACCGGCTTAAACGGATAGCATGACAGAACTCCTCCACAAGCTGCTCTAAGTCCGGCTCCAATGGGAGTCTCATAGCCATCCTTGCGCGAACTCTGTCAACTATCTTATGCGATGGTGATACTTAATTGTTTTCCACGTGTGAGGATCCGCTTCCCTCTATTTGTATTCCACTATCTGTGCGCACAAACTTCTGCGCTTCGTATCCACCTTTCCATCGTGCCGTACAATGCCTTGTCCTTCCTCATTAACCAATCCCCGCTATGCTAACATCCGTCTCATCAATACAACATACATCAACAATCGTCGTTCTTCCGTATCCAACCAACCTTTCTCTTGAGACTCTTCGCTCGTTACCTCCTATTTAGTCCTTCCGCCTTTCCGATCCTACTTTCTTCCTTAATTGTCATGGCACCGTATCTGAGCAAGTACCTTGCTGTCACGGCGCAATCCGCCCTCTCCGGCCGCCTCGTGCAGCACGCCTGCGATCTAGCAGACAAAGCAGCGCAAACCTTTGCAGAGCCAACATGCACAGGTAAATCATGCGTAATTCATACCTGCATGTGCCATCGCTTCATTCCTGCGCGATTCCATCCCAGGACCCTCGTTGGAGGAGCTTAATGCTGTCATGCCGGAAGGTTTGTACCTTGGCCTTGTTGTCCACCACGATGCACACAACGCGTTTGTCTTCACCGCCAGCCCACTACCATCGTCTGGCACTTCGACCGCTTTGCGCCGTTGGACCGCGCGACGTATCACTCCCAATCGTTTGGAACCGTGCAAGGAACTCTCCGACATCCCCTCTCCGCAGCACTTCTTCTTGGAAGTAGGCGTTTCTGTTGGCACCCAGGATATCAACAATCCCCAGGAAATGCTAGATCGCCTCTGGACCACACCTTTGGAGCGCTTTGTCTGGCCTGTCGCCTACCTCCATCACGGTGCTTATACCACCGATGCGCGCTCTGATCCCTCCTGGAACCGTGCGCTTAACCTCCATCCTGCTGCAGCAGCTTACCTTTACGCTCGCCTGGTGAGTGCCTCCCCACGCGGGATCTCTGCATCGTCTTACTGCCTCCCTATCCATTCTCTCCACCATGTAGTGAGATAATATATGGAAACCTGGGAACCGCTCTCGAATGCCGCCTTTGACATCCAATGCCAATCTTCTTGATTACCTTCCGTGCCTTCCGTTTTTTTACCTCCTTCCTTCCCCCTCTCCTCCCCCCCACCCATCCTTCCATACCCCCTACCTCCCGTCCAAGGACCAACGATCTCGTCTGACTTACTACGCAGTCAGCACATCCTTCTCCGGGGATATCATAGCCGCTCGGTTGCAGCCTGAGCAGGTTGAGCCCTCCTTCAGCACGTCCCGAGGAAGTGGGCTCATTACCTGGCTTCCTAACCTCGCCATCCTGGACTATCAACACGCCACCATGGCGACCCTCTCCCGTATCCTCCACCTCTTCGATATCGTTGCGTCAGAAACCGACACCACCATCAGGTTTGGCAGCAGGCGTCAACCACTGCAGCATGACCCAGACGCCTACTACGATGCCATCCGGCATCGGGTGCAGACTGCTCCCTCCGGGCAATTTCCCTTGCCTCGTGTGAAGGAAGACACCAGGTGAGACATGCAAGGTGAGAAAACGTGCGCCACCACCGATCGCCATCTAACTTGCATCTTACCAATCCGAATTTGTTTATTCTTCACCCATGCATACCCGTACAACACGATTAGACCTTCCCCTTCCTGAATACCTTACGTTTCACCTTCTACACACGATTTATCGCTATCTCTTCCTTTCACTTACTACAATTTTGCCATCCATGCTTGCCCAAAACCCATCTGTCTTATGGTTGTACGGCATCTGTACGGCATGTGTTTCGACACCGCCTCTCACCCCCCTCTTCTCCCGTCATCACCTACACGTCACTCCAACCCTCCTTGTCACTCCTGGCACCATCTCCCCCCTCACCCAACCTCCTTCCCTCTAACCCTCGTACAGAACCGTCCCACGACAACCATTTCCCCAACTTCACCTCACGCAGTCGCTTCTCAACGACATACTCGCTGTCACCCGCGCCACTCTTCTCCAAGCCGACACCTCCCTGACGGATGTTTTTGACGCCCGCACCAAAAGGGAATGGGCGACCATTTGCCGCCGACGCAGCCTCTCTTGCCCGCCTCTGCTTGACGACTTCCGCTACAACGTACGACAGTTGCCCGACGTCCTCATTAACATCAACCGCCTTACCGTCGCTTTCTCCCTGCTTTCCTCCTCTCATCTCCGCGTTAATTGGTCGGATGCAGAGAACACTCTATGGACGCCGCAAGGTCAGCACGCCAGCACTTGGATGGCCGCCTGCCTTGAACCCGGCATGGTCGTGGAGACAGTATGCTACAAGCACGACGCTAGCTATGATAAAGTCATCACTCGTCGAGCGATGGGCATCGTTCTTTCCTTACCCCCTGAGGCCCCCATCGGCGTCGTCTGTTTCTGCGGTGACTGCGCTACAACTCCTCAGCTCGCTGACCGTCTTCTCCACCTTCCTACCTTCGAGGCTCACGGTTGCACCCGCAATGAGCAGTACCGTTGTCGCTGCTCCAGTGTGCCTGGCTGTGTCCGAGTCCTCGTTCCTCTGCGTGCGGGAACCCCGGTATGGCGACCGTTGTGGAGATGGGCCCGTTTGGAGCAAATTTGCTGCACCAACCGACTGGCGGATCCTGACTTGGACTGGGATGACCTGTGGACAGCCAACCGACCAGCTCTTGCCCCTAACTCACCATTCAACGACGAACCCCCACCGCCTGGTTGGGTGGGCTCTGGTTACCCGTCCGACGCACCGGATGCCATCCTGTGACACTACTCACATTCCACCGTCACCGCCACTGTACGGCGTTAAATGACAGCGTCGATTCTCGACGACACACTCGTTCAATTGGCCCTTTAAGGTGCCGTGGGTTCAAACCCCACACGAGTGATTCCTTACAGACTACTCCATGCGCCCTTTCCCACGGTAGCCCTCAACTATTTTCATATCAACACTTTCACTATTATGTAAACACGCCCATGCAAGCAAGGTGCAAATGCTTGCACGCGTCCCTTCATGCCACAATGGAAATGCATCAAGCACGAATGCATTCATGCGTATGCAGATCACACCCGACAACTAGGCTAGCAGTGCAGAAGTGCTTGAATGCCTGCATATGTGGGTTTCTCAGCGGAAACACGCCCATCTTTGAGGCACTACAAGGGGCCATGGTACAACAGAAATGCGTTCATTTCCGGTTTGCCCGGGAAGGCGGCAAAACCTCATCGGCGCAAGCTGCGATAACGCTTCCTCGAAAAACGCCGATTACCTTTAGTCGAAAACACGACCAACAGATGTTTGTCCGGCGCAACTTGCAACCTCCGTTCGGCCAAAAACATACCCGAAAACGCCGATTACCATTCGTCGATAATTTATAGGCGACGGACACGGCATCGGCGAAAATTTTTCGGCGAAAATTTTTCGGCGAAAACTTTTCGGCGAAACGTTTTCGGCGAAAAAGGTGAACACGAAATCGACGCGTTTCTTGAAAACCGCCGATTATCTATCGCCGGAAAACATCGACCACTGCGTCGGCGAAAACATTTCGGCGACAATTTTTCGGCGAAAAAAGTGATCATGAAATCTCCGCGTATATTGAAAAGCGCCGATTATCTATCGCCGAAAAATATCGATATCGGCAAGAATGAATCGGCGCAAACTGTATTCTGATTTCGGCGATAATCATTATCCTCAATTCGACACATCTCCTGATAACGCCAATTACGCCGAGTGTTTGCAGCCCGTGTTCAAGAACGCCGATTGGATAACATCTAATCGCCGAGAGCATACAACTGTTTCCACCCGTTTCTACCCGTTTCTACAATACACGGGGTATTGTATTCGCGGAGACGCCATGCAGCCATTTTCCTCTCCTGACGAAGTGGAGTCACATCCCACCGACTTCCTCGCGCTGCTCGTCTGCACTGTGATGTCGACTAAACTATAACTGAGTTAACGAGCCATTCGCAGTTTCTCGGTTACTTTATGTAAGGAAGTAATCCTGCCCTTCAGCGAGAGGCGACCTATGCCTCGCGACAGATGCCTTACAACCAATGCTTACAAACAAAACTGGCACGCCAATGTTGGGTCCGCCGAACCCGCTTGTCAGCAAGTGTACCAAGCTCACAACATTGGTCACTGCACTGACATCAGGTCCACCAACCTTGATGTGCCTTACGACAAATGGCTTACGACCGGTGTACGCATCACCAATCAGGATTTACGGTACCCCCGGCCGCGGCGACCACGACGCGGCGCTATCCGTCCGTCTGTCCGTCCGTTCACAAAAGGGGTGGCAACTTCCTTTGGGCGCTAAGCGTTCAGTCCTGTTTTCAGCCAGCCAGAGGTCTCCAGTTCGAGCCAGGTAGCGACCTCTTTGCGACTTCCTCGGCACCCTTGGAGATGATGCCTGGGCCTATGGGGGTGGTGTTTTGGGAGATCTCGAGTACGACAACACACTGTACGGCAGCAAACTGTACGGCACGGTTGCCATGCTGTGTGATGACACATCATGTGGTGTACGACATGTACGACTATGTACGACAGCTGTAAGGCAGTGTACAACAACTGCCGTACGGTTGTACGGCATCTGTACGACATGGGTTTTGACACGGCCTCACATCCCCCTCCATGCTCCCCACTCCCCTTCTCGTCCCCTCGTCCCTCCAGCTCCTCCGACCGCCCCTGCATCACCGTGAGGTGTACGACAACGCAGTACGGCATGTGTTTTGGCACGCCCTTCCACCCCCCTCCATGCTCCCCACTCCCCTCATCACCCCCTCTTTGCCGCAATGTCTTGCATTGTGGTGTCGACTAAGCTATAACTGAATTAATGAGCCATTCGCAGTTTCTTGGTTACTTTCAGAAATCGGCGTAATTCTGTTTGGTGACCGTGGCCACCCCCCTCCGTACTCCCCACTCCCCTCACCACCCCCTTGTCGCTCCAGCACCTCTGACCACGCCTGTCGTATAGCAACACGGTACTGCATGGGTTCGGGCACCATCGGCACCAACACTCGTCATGCCTGGCATCATCAGGATGGTGTCCTGAGGTGTGGTGCCGTACAGCAACACAGTATGACATTGGTTTCGACATGCTCTTCCACCTCCCTCCATGCTCCCCACTCCATCTCTTTGTTGCAAGGTCTTGCATTATGATGTCGACTAGGCTATAAGTGAGTTAATGAGCCATTCGCAGTTTCTTGGTTACTTTCCGAAATTGGCGTAAAACCGTTTGGTGACGGAATATTAGTTGGCAGAAGTCTTTTGCTCAGGGTGGCATTGGTTACTTTCCAACTGAGCTATAAAAAGAGCTATAAAAAGCTCTAAAACTGTTTCGGCAATTGATTTGGATACGGCGAAGCAAAATCGGCGCAAGCTGTAAGCTGGTTTCGGCGACAAGCATTGTCGTGAAGTCGGCGCGTCTGACGAAAAGCGCCGATTACTGGTCGCCGAAGATTAGGGTTTATCGGCGATTACTGATCGGCGAATGCTGTCAGGGGTGATCGCCTCGAAAGCTTCTTATATTTCGGCGCAATTTGCCTGGCATTGGCGAAATTCTTTCGGCGCAATTTACAAACTGGTTTCGGCGATTACTAATCGCCAAAATTTGCCTGGCGTCGGCGAAAGTCTTTCGGCGCAATTTGCAAGCTGGTTTCGGCGAGAAGCGCGGTCCTCGAGTCGGCGCAATTTGCCTGGCATCGGCGAAATTCTTTCGGCGCAATTTGCAAGCTGGTTTCGGCGATTACTGTTCGCCGAAATTTGCCTGGCGTCGGCGAAGGTCTTTCGGCGCAACTTGCAAGCTGGTTTCGGCGAAAAGCACGGTCGTGAAGTCGGCGCATCTCCTGGAAAGCGCCGATTACTGATCGCCGAAATTTATATTCGTGTTGACCGTTCCATCATTCCGGCGCACCATTCCGAAACATGCTGCGATCTGCCCGTGTGTATATGTACGTCAGCATTGTCCGTTCGCTATAAATAATCAGTTGTCTTTATTTTTAACTCTCCTCGTGCTTGGCGGTTTCTATACTAGTGCCTTTTGGTTCCTTTCTGTGTCCTTCGCGATGTCGGCCGAGAAGAGGTGGGTGATAGCTTGCTTTTCTTTCTAGCATTGCCTTATGCGTCCTGAATGCCGTCGCATTTCCATTTTCGTAGGCACAACGAGAGTCTGTCACCTTCCAAGGTGAAGCGACAGGAGACGATGTCTCCATCCGGGTGAGTTGAAAGCGGAAATGGCGGCGAATCATGGTGACAATCCTAGTTATCTGTTAAACTTGGCTGTTTTGTCGCATTGTCGTGTCTGTGTTGTTTGTTGGGACCCTGATAGGCGCGTCCATTCCGTTGCATCCTTGCTTGTTTTATATGCGAACCCTCGGCACTACAAATGCCTATCCGGTGAAGCATACCGACATGCCTTCTCGGCATCTTTTGTTGGAGCCATTCTGAGCCATTGCGCCGTGGCATTATGTGATCTGCAGCTAGGTTATTAGGAATATTATCTTGGTTGCATTTGACATTGTTTGCATGTAGTTGCACTAGCCAAATTCTTCGTTGACCCATGGGTCTTCTTTATGTTAACATCGCTGGTTGCTCTCCCGTTTCGTCTCAGGGCGTCGTCTGCGGCAAGCGCCATTGCCGGCAGCCCCAGGCTCCTCCGACGGCTTGTGGCGTTCCAGCCGACACTGGCTTTTGCTCCGCAGGACAGCTTGGATTACGCAGTCAGGGACAGCCATTGCGTGTTGATCGGGCCTGCCGTACCAGGTGCCGACGATGGCGACATCTCCATGTCGGCGGTTGCGCTAGAGGTCAGCGGTTCCTGCATTGAACGCTTCCGTGACGCGCTCGGCAACATTGTCACCGTCGACCCGGTGGTGGGTGCGGCCATCCAGTCGACAAGGCCTCTTGCACGTCTGTCGCAGCTGTCCTACGTGCAGCTGCATACGGATGGACTGGCGAATGTGGTGGTGAGTTAATTGTTTCGGGATAGTGACTTCGGGTCGTGTTTCGTGTCATCATGTGTGGGTTACAGCCCTCCTGATTGCAAGTGTTCCCGTTGAGTCTAACATTCGGATTTCCTGGTTATGTACCTTTTGCCTATGCAATAGGTGGAACCCACTGATCGGTTCATCGAGCTCGGCCCTCATGACGTGCGGATACTGCCCAATCCACCTGTTAACGACAACCCCAACGTCGCCAACCTCGCCCCGACGCTCATGGTCCCGTACGGCACGTTCACTGAGTACGTCGGCAACGGGGAGACGTACAAGAAGGTGGACGCCATGATCGCCGTCCAAGACGTTTCCGGACCGGTGCCTTTGCCTTTCAAGGTATCCCTGAAGGCGCGTGCTGCTGCCCTTCCTTCCGCGATGGAGCGACTGCTGCAGAGCGCAGCCTCCCAGCAGCTGCCACTGTACGCGAACGGGTTCCATGAGCGCAAGAACCCCACGTACGGAGGTGAGGCCCTTTGGCTGCTTGCCTTGCTTTGTCATGTGGCTCTTTATTGCTTTATTCGTTCTTCGTTATTGCATTGGCGACTGTCCAGCTTCACTCGTACATTTGCGATAGTCCTTAGTTTTCTTCATAGCCGCCGCGTAATTTCATCGAATGTAGTCATGTTGCTTCACCGTCACCATCACCATCACCCTCGTTCTCCAACCCAAATCCACCGTAGGAACCATGTGGATCAACAACACCTACTTCTTCGGCGCCCCCGTTACGCGCCGGGTTCAGCCATTCCTGGAGAGGGCTAACGCCGCCATCGCTGCTGCGGGTAACCCTGTCCCGGTTGCGTGGACGAGCCGCCTGGCGCAGGAGTGGGACGCAACCATCGAGTCGGCACTTCCGCAAGTACGTTTGCGACGCTTTGCATCCGTCTCGTTTCTTTGTTTCATGCAATATCGTTACGAAATCCTTCGAATTCCTTTACCGATCAACCCAATCGATCATGCTCAATCTGATCCTATGGGCCATTACATCTCATTAATGACGATCCGTTCCTTCATACAGTTTACAAACTTGCTGATTGCCAGTCAATGGTTGAGGACTGCCTTTCACCTTGTACGGCTTAACGATCGCGGGTATCTTCTCTCGTTGCATCAATGCAGGACGGAGTGATGGAGAACGCCTCCGTCCAGCCTCTGATCGTCAGGCCCGTGCTTGGCGAGGCCCACGTTTTCCCGATGGCCCTCACTCACCAGGGTCGCCACTACGCGGTGTACGCTGACACCCTGGATGTCCTCCGCCACGTCCCCGGTTACGTCCAGGAGTTCGGCGACGTCGACATTTCGGAGGTGCCGCAGCGGTCCCTGTCCCGCTTCCTGCAGGAGCCGTTCGATCTGCATGTCGACGTGGATATCCGGACCATTGACCGCCACACCCGGATCGTCCGCATGACGCCGCGATAGTAGGGTAGTTGATTGATGCCCGTGCGGTCGTTATGTTTGTCTCGGCAGGGACAACTACATGCGGAGTACCATGAAGTGCGGGGCAGTGTTGCGTCAGGTGTCGCTGACATGTCGAATGGTCCCTTCTGGATGGATTGCTGTTGTCGTACACACTGCTATCCCCACCGTCTGTACGGTATAAGAAATGGAATGTTGGTGTGGCCGTGTTGATAAGAAATGGAATGTTTTGGTGTGGCCGTACATGTTGCTGTCTTTCCGTACATTCTGCTGTGTCTACCGACCGCATGTGCCTATAGGAAATGGACCGAATGACAAGATGCGTCGGTGGTGCATGTGATGTGCTGCGTCGTTGCCTGATGCGTATGCCCATACTATCGTTTCAATACATTGTCTCCGTAAGGACTGCCGTTTGGGGATATTGGATACGTTTGCATTCGAACGTTGTTATTCGATCGCAGCCCTTGCATGCCGTTTTTTTCTTACTTTCTGTGGGTCGGTGAGGTCGCACCTGCTGCTATCCTTCTGTACATTCTGCTTTCTGTGTCGTTGACGGTTGAATGGATGACATGGGGCACCGATGATATGGGTGACATAGACCGTCACAGCATGATAGCAGCTCCATCACGCAATAGGTCTGTACGGGTTGCATGAACTGGACAGCAATTGCCACACCCAATTATGATGTAACAGACAAGAAAAGCTTCGGTACTTACATCCATCACCTCGCTATCCACTAGCTAGCCCCAATTAATACGATCCATAACCGTCGCTGTACCGTTCAGCAGCCATCATCATGCACAACTCTATCGTACACATGTAGTTGTGCTTCCGCTTTCAGACAATCACCTGCGCCGGAAACACGGCAACATGTACGGCCTTACCATGTGCACATGCGGCGATCCCACAACCTTACCGACGGTTCCAATCATCACCGACATGCAACGTCTACTACCAAGTTGCGCCAATTCAATCCAAAAGGGCCCGTTAAACATTTAAGAAGACACAGCTTAACAGCGACGTCGCCGGATCTCTGTTATGTGGTGAGACATGTACAGCAACGTCGCCCAATCCATGCAATTGCAGCATGCAACGGCAACGGCACCCGTTCCAACGTTACCCAACTCGCCGACTCGCCAACTCGCACATCGCCAACTCGCCAACTCGCCACATGCAACTTGCCGCCTCACCCGTTGTAGCCCCCACACGCATGCAAGCATCCCCGCTTTAATCCCCCCGCATATTGTGCAAGCTCTACACACCCCCTCGCGTCATACATTAGCACAGACACAGCCCGGCACATGTGCAAAGTAAAGCAAACAATACTCTCATGCCGCTACCCAATACTCTCATGCCGTTACCTCAACACTCTCATACCGTTACCCAACTTGCGTGATGCAAACCCGGTTAAACATATCCCAGCGTATCCATGCTAGTGCATGCGTGTAATGCTACATGCATGCTTATCCCTTCCTGTCTTTTCCGCCGCCTGCTTCCTTCTTACGCCGCTCTCTCTTCCCTTCCTTAACCTCCTCATCTTCCCCCTCCAGACCAACCCGAGATCCCGTCCCCTCTGCACCGTTTCGAGTTTGGAAGATGTATTCCGTCCGCGGCCGTGCCAGGACCGCGCTCTCAGCAGCTGCATGCGCCGCGTCCGCCGCCGTGCGAGCCTCGGCCTCACTCGCCGGCGGAATCTCGGACAGGACAGCATTGAACGCATGTTGCGTGGCGTCCGCGGGCGTTGAGGAAAGCCGAGTCATTCTGCCGTGCCACTCCTCGATGAGCTCCCGTGCCCGCCTAAACCTCGGCAGCTTCTGGGGGTCTGCCGGCAGCCTCCAATCAGGTCTCGGTGAAGCAGCCGAGAACAGCCCTTCCGGCAACCGACGCAATGGACGGCCGCCGACTTTAGCCCAGCCTGCCAGAAGCCGATGGATTGACACCACCACCAGGCCTGTCAAACCGGGCGTCGTCGGCGAGTCAACGTCCTCGCTGAACAGAAGGTCATCATCCGCCGGCGCGCCCTCCATTGGAAACCATACAACAGCATGGCAGTTAAACGCGGCTGTGTCAAGAGATTCCTGCCCCGCGTGCCGGTGAAACGCCGTCTTAAGGTCGAAGATCCGCTGGAGGGCGTCGTCTGTTTCTGAACAGCTGTCACATAAGCACAGAACCGGCACAGAGTAGCCTCCCCATCCATGCTCTGAGTGGCCACAGATGACGACACCTGCCCGTGGCTGGATGCCAGTCTTCTTTACGTCGCTCACCACTATAGTGCCCGGTGGCAGCAGGTTTCCAACCACCGCCGATGTGAACCGCCCGGTCTTTGGAGGGCCCCACACGGCACGAAACGGTAACGGCGGCGGCAGCTGCGCAAGGACCTTGCCCGCCCGGCTGCGCGTTACCGCAAAGTCAAACATGTTGACCGCTGGTATGTTATCATCATCCATCTGCACCGTCAGCGGCGTGCTTCCGGTCACGCTGGCATATGCTGCCCGCCGTTCGTCCTCCGTTGCGTTAGGCTGCCTCGTCGCGTTCAGGCGGAAAGCTGAAGCTATGTGGCTCACCAAACCCTCCAGCTCGTTAAATGGGAAGGGTATAGGGCCCGCAGTACGTGCGTGCGCAGAAACGGCCGCTTGCTTGCCTGTCGTCGCCGTCCCCACCTCCCCTTCCTCCTCCACCTCCTTCCCCTTCCGCTTACGCCCCTGGCTGCTAGGAGATCCACCCGCCAGCGCCTGCCGCGTAACAGCAGCGGCGCCGCCAGCAGGAGAGGCTGCCGCCGAGCGGTTGTCGTACAAAAGACCGGGCCGCCCTGCCTCGACAAGAGCGGCATGGATGCCAGCGGCCTCCCGCAACAGCTCCTCTTCGTAATCGCTGCTCATCCGCGGCACTCGCTGGGTGCTGATCACCTCATTCAGCACCTCCTGCACCGTCGCCTCGAACACAAACACAAACTCCTCGTTTGACAACGGCTGCTCACTAGTTCCGCTGCTGCTGACCGCTTGCAGACGAGCCCATGCGCCGACGTCCATCAGGATTCGCTTGTCCGGCCCGAACCCCACTGTCTGAGTTAGCATTAGGTACTCGTCTGACCTGAATTCCTTCTGGACATTACCGCTGATGTTGCTGTTAACTTTGGACAGGTCGCCTGCTGTTTCCATAGCCTTCGCACCGACATCAAGTACAATGCTATCCACATGCACGTCGCATGGCTTGTACTCATCTGCTGCAGGGAGACGTACGAAGGCTATATCGTCGTCCTCCTTCCGCATCACCCTGCTCTCCGTGACGATACACCAGCCACGTGCTGCCAGATGCCACACGCCGCTCTCCGGTGCATCCCTGATTCGCAAGCACGGAACATGCTGACCCGTCCGGCATGTGCTCACTGTGCAAGGACTGCACCGGAGAGACGCGCGCGCTCCGCCGGTGGCGACAACGGCCTCGGCGTCGGCAGCAACGCCCACATCAGCGCCAGTCTGAACGGCGGTACCACCGCTAGCTGCAGCGGCAGCGCTAGCACCGGCGGCAGCATCTGCACCAGCCGTGGCAACTGCTGCAGCGCCACCTACAGCGCTGTCACTTCCGTACGAATAAGACCGTCCCCAAAACCTCTGCAACCACGTGACACGGCAGCGGGTATCCGTCAGGGCACCGATGTCACAGTCCGTGTCACATGGAACCAAACAAGCGACAAGCATAACAATGAAGTCAGCATCGGCAAAGTTTTTTCGGCGCAATTTGCAAGCAAATGTTTCTTGCTACAACTGCCACCTTGTCGTCGCAACGCGGCTATGGTCACAGCGCATGCCTGGCATCGCAACGAATTCTTTCCCAACTATCGTTTCGCTTCTCAACTACTTTTACCTTTCTATTCCAATTTATAAACATGTACGCGAACATCAACCTTCCTCTGGAAAATCATCCCTCGTTTCCGTTACTCACCGCTGAATTGTCCGTTTCCACCAACTCCACTTGTGACCGGCTTAAACGGATAGCATGACAGAACTCCTCCACAAGCTGCTCTAAGTCCGGCTCCAATGGGAGTCTCATAGCCATCCTTGCGCGAACTCTGTCAACTATCTTATGCGATGGTGATACTTAATTGTTTTCCACGTGTGAGGATCCGCTTCCCTCTATTTGTATTCCACTATCTGTGCGCACAAACTTCTGCGCTTCGTATCCACCTTTCCATCGTGCCGTACAATGCCTTGTCCTTCCTCATTAACCAATCCCCGCTATGCTAACATCCGTCTCATCAATACAACATACATCAACAATCGTCGTTCTTCCGTATCCAACCAACCTTTCTCTTGAGACTCTTCGCTCGTTACCTCCTATTTAGTCCTTCCGCCTTTCCGATCCTACTTTCTTCCTTAATTGTCATGGCACCGTATCTGAGCAAGTACCTTGCTGTCACGGCGCAATCCGCCCTCTCCGGCCGCCTCGTGCAGCACGCCTGCGATCTAGCAGACAAAGCAGCGCAAACCTTTGCAGAGCCAACATGCACAGGTAAATCATGCGTAATTCATACCTGCATGTGCCATCGCTTCATTCCTGCGCGATTCCATCCCAGGACCCTCGTTGGAGGAGCTTAATGCTGTCATGCCGGAAGGTTTGTACCTTGGCCTTGTTGTCCACCACGATGCACACAACGCGTTTGTCTTCACCGCCAGCCCACTACCATCGTCTGGCACTTCGACCGCTTTGCGCCGTTGGACCGCGCGACGTATCACTCCCAATCGTTTGGAACCGTGCAAGGAACTCTCCGACATCCCCTCTCCGCAGCGCTTCTTCTTGGAAGTAGGCGTTTCTGTTGGCACCCAGGATATCAACAATCCCCAGGAAATGCTAGATCGCCTCTGGACCACACCTTTGGAGCGCTTTGTCTGGCCTGTCGCCTACCTCCATCACGGTGCTTATACCACCGATGCGCGCTCTGATCCCTCCTGGAACCGTGCGCTTAACCTCCATCCTGCTGCAGCAGCTTACCTTTACGCTCGCCTGGTGAGTGCCTCCCCACGCGGGATCTCTGCATCGTCTTACTGCCTCCCTATCCATTCTCTCCACCATGTAGTGAGATAATATATGGAAACCTGGGAACCGCTCTCGAATGCCGCCTTTGACATCCAATGCCAATCTTCTTGATTACCTTCCGTGCCTTCCGTTTTTTTACCTCCTTCCTTCCCCCTCTCCTCCCCCCCACCCATCCTTCCATACCCCCTACCTCCCGTCCAAGGACCAACGATCTCGTCTGACTTACTACGCAGTCAGCACATCCTTCTCCGGGGATATCATAGCCGCTCGGTTGCAGCCTGAGCAGGTTGAGCCCTCCTTCAGCACGTCCCGAGGAAGTGGGCTCATTACCTGGCTTCCTAACCTCGCCATCCTGGACTATCAACACGCCACCATGGCGACCCTCTCCCGTATCCTCCACCTCTTCGATATCGTTGCGTCAGAAACCGACACCACCATCAGGTTTGGCAGCAGGCGTCAACCACTGCAGCATGACCCAGACGCCTACTACGATGCCATCCGGCATCGGGTGCAGACTGCTCCCTCCGGGCAATTTCCCTTGCCTCGTGTGAAGGAAGACACCAGGTGAGACATGCAAGGTGAGAAAACGTGCGCCACCACCGATCGCCATCTAACTTGCATCTTACCAATCCGAATTTGTTTATTCTTCACCCATGCATACCCGTACAACACGATTAGACCTTCCCCTTCCTGAATACCTTACGTTTCACCTTCTACACACGATTTATCGCTATCTCTTCCTTTCACTTACTACAATTTTGCCATCCATGCTTGCCCAAAACCCATCTGTCTTATGGTTGTACGGCATCTGTACGGCATGTGTTTCGACACCGCCTCTCACCCCCCTCTTCTCCCGTCATCACCTACACGTCACTCCAACCCTCCTTGTCACTCCTGGCACCATCTCCCCCCTCACCCAACCTCCTTCCTGTACGAGGGTTAGAGCGACCCAACTTCATCGGTCGGACGGAAGGCACGGAAGGTCCTCACCCAACCTCCTTCCCTCTAACCCTCGTACAGAACCGTCCCACGACAACCATTTCCCCAACTTCACCTCACGCAGTCGCTTCTCAACGACATACTCGCTGTCACCCGCGCCACTCTTCTCCAAGCCGACACCTCCCTGACGGATGTTTTTGACGCCCGCACCAAAAGGGAATGGGCGACCATTTGCCGCCGACGCAGCCTCTCTTGCCCGCCTCTGCTTGACGACTTCCGCTACAACGTACGACAGTTGCCCGACGTCCTCATTAACATCAACCGCCTTACCGTCGCTTTCTCCCTGCTTTCCTCCTCTCATCTCCGCGTTAATTGGTCGGATGCAGAGAACACTCTATGGACGCCGCAAGGTCAGCACGCCAGCACTTGGATGGCCGCCTGCCTTGAACCCGGCATGGTCGTGGAGACAGTATGCTACAAGCACGACGCTAGCTATGATAAAGTCATCACTCGTCGAGCGATGGGCATCGTTCTTTCCTTACCCCCTGAGGCCCCCATCGGCGTCGTCTGTTTCTGCGGTGACTGCGCTACAACTCCTCAGCTCGCTGACCGTCTTCTCCACCTTCCTACCTTCGAGGCTCACGGTTGCACCCGCAATGAGCAGTACCGTTGTCGCTGCTCCAGTGTGCCTGGCTGTGTCCGAGTCCTCGTTCCTCTGCGTGCGGGAACCCCGGTATGGCGACCGTTGTGGAGATGGGCCCGTTTGGAGCAAATTTGCTGCACCAACCGACTGGCGGATCCTGACTTGGACTGGGATGACCTGTGGACAGCCAACCGACCAGCTCTTGCCCCTAACTCACCATTCAACGACGAACCCCCACCGCCTGGTTGGGTGGGCTCTGGTTACCCGTCCGACGCACCGGATGCCATCCTGTGACACTACTCACATTCCACCGTCACCGCCACTGTACGGCGTTAAATGACAGCGTCGATTCTCGACGACACACTCGTTCAATTGGCCCTTTAAGGTGCCGTGGGTTCAAACCCCACACGAGTGATTCCTTACAGACTACTCCATGCGCCCTTTCCCACGGTAGCCCTCAACTATTTTCATATCAACACTTTCACTATTATGTAAACACGCCCATGCAAGCAAGGTGCAAATGCTTGCACGCGTCCCTTCATGCCACAATGGAAATGCATCAAGCACGAATGCATTCATGCGTATGCAGATCACACCCGACAACTAGGCTAGCAGTGCAGAAGTGCTTGAATGCCTGCATATGTGGGTTTCTCAGCGGAAACACGCCCATCTTTGAGGCACTACAAGGGGCCATGGTACAACAGAAATGCGTTCATTTCCGGTTTGCCCGGGAAGGCGGCAAAACCTCATCGGCGCAAGCTGCGATAACGCTTCCTCGAAAAACGCCGATTACCTTTAGTCGAAAACACGACCAACAGATGTTTGTCCGGCGCAACTTGCAACCTCCGTTCGGCCAAAAACATACCCGAAAACGCCGATTACCATTCGTCGATAATTTATAGGCGACGGACACGGCATCGGCGAAAATTTTTCGGCGAAAATTTTTCGGCGAAAACTTTTCGGCGAAACGTTTTCGGCGAAAAAGGTGAACACGAAATCGACGCGTTTCTTGAAAACCGCCGATTATCTATCGCCGGAAAACATCGACCACTGCGTCGGCGAAAACATTTCGGCGACAATTTTTCGGCGAAAAAAGTGATCATGAAATCTCCGCGTATATTGAAAAGCGCCGATTATCTATCGCCGAAAAATATCGATATCGGCAAGAATGAATCGGCGCAAACTGTATTCTGATTTCGGCGATAATCATTATCCTCAATTCGACACATCTCCTGATAACGCCAATTACGCCGAGTGTTTGCAGCCCGTGTTCAAGAACGCCGATTGGATAACATCTAATCGCCGAGAGCATACAGCTGTTTCCACCCGTTTCTACCCGTTTCTACAATACACGGGGTATTGTATTCGCGGAGACGCCATGCAGCCATTTTCCTCTCCTGACGAAGTGGAGTCACATCCCACCGACTTCCTCGCGCTGCTCGTCTGCACTGTGATGTCGACTAAACTATAACTGAGTTAACGAGCCATTCGCAGTTTCTCGGTTACTTTATGTAAGGAAGTAATCCTGCCCTTCAGCGAGAGGCGACCTATGCCTCGCGACAGATGCCTTACAACCAATGCTTACAAACAAAACTGGCACGCCAATGTTGGGTCCGCCGAACCCGCTTGTCAGCAAGTGTACCAAGCTCACAACATTGGTCACTGACATCAGGTCCACCAACCTTGATGTGCCTTACGACAAATGGCTTACGACCGGTGTACGCATCACCAATCAGGATTTACGGTACCCCCGGCCGCGGCGACCACGACGCGGCGCTATCTGTCCGTCCGTCTGTCTGTCTGTCTGTTCACAAAAGTGGTGGCAACGACCTTCCGGCGCTAAGCGTTCAGTCCTATCCTCAGCCAGCCAGAGGTCTCCAGTTCGAGCCGGGTAGCGACCTCTTTGCGACTTCCTCGGCACCCTTGGAGATGATGCCTGGGCCTATGGGGATGGTGTTTTGGGAGATCTCGAGTACGACAACACACTGTAGTACGGCAACGCAGTACGGCATGGGTTTCGACACGCCCTCCCACCCCCCTCCATGCTCCCCACTTCCCTCACCTCCCCCTCGCCCCTCCAGCACCCCTGAACGCCCCTGCATCACCGTGAGGTGTACGGCAACACAGTACGGCATGGGTTTCGACACGCCCTCCCACCCCCCTCCATGCTCCCCACTCCCCTCACCTCCCCCTCGCCCCTCTAGCACCCCTGAACGCCCCTGCATCACCGTGAGGTGTACGGCAACGCAGTACGGCACGGGTTTCGACACGCCCTCCCACCCCCCTCCATGCTCCCCACTTCCCTCACCTCCCCCTCGCCCCTCTAGCACCCCTGAACGCCCCTGCATCACCGTGAGGTGTACGGCAACGCAGTACGGCATGGGTTTCGACACGCCCTCCCACCCCCCTCCATGCTCCCCACTTCCCTCACCTCCCCCTCGCCCCTCTAGCACCCCTGAACGCCCCTGCATCACCGTGAGGTGTACGGCAACGCAGTACGGCACGGGTTTCGACACGCCCTCCCACCCCCCTCCATGCTCCCCACTCCCCTCACCTCCCCCTCGCCCCTCCAGCACCTCTGAACGCCCCTGTATCACCGTGAGGTGTACGGCAATGCAGTACGGCACGGGTTTCGACACGCCCTCCCACCCCCCTCCATGCTCCCCACTCCCCTCACCTCCCCCTCGCCCCTCTAGCACCCCTGAACGCCCCTGCATCACCGTGAGGTGTACGGCAACGCAGTACGGCATGGGTTTCGACACGCCCTCCCACCCCCCTCCATGCTCCCCACTCCCCTCACCTCCCCCTCGCCCCTCCAGCACCTCTGAACGCCCCTGCATCACCGTGAGGTGTACGGCAACGCAGTACGGCATGGGTTTCGACACGCCCTCCCACCCCCCTCCATGCTCCCCACTCCCCTCACCTCCCCCTCGCCCCTCTAGCACCCCTGAACGCCCCTGCATCACCGTGAGGTGTACGGCAACGCAGTACGGCACGGGTTTCGACACGCCCTCCCACCCCCCTCCATGCTCCCCACTCCCCTCACCTCCCCCTCGCCCCTCCAGCACCTCTGAACGCCCCTGCATCACCGTGAGGTGTACGGCAACGCAGTACGGTACGGGTTTCGACACGCCCTCCCACCCCCCTCCATGCTCCCCACTCCCCTCACCTCCCCCTCGCCCCTCTAGCACCCCTGAACGCCCCTGCATCACCGTGAGGTGTACGGCAACGCAGTACGGCATGGGTTTCGACACGCCCTCCCACCCCCCTCCATGCTCCCCACTCCCCTCACCTCCCCCTCGCCCCTCTAGCACCCCTGAACGCCCCTGCATCACCGTGAGGTGTACGGCAACGCAGTACGGCATGGGTTTCGACACGCCCTCCCACCCCCCTCCATGCTCCCCACTCCCCTCACCTCCCCCTCGCCCCTCTAGCACCCCTGAACGCCCCTGCATCACCGTGAGGTGTACGGCAACGCAGTACGGCATGGGTTTCGACACGCCCTCCCACCCCCCTCCATGCTCCCCACTCCCCTCACCTCCCCCTCGCCCCTCCAGCACCTCTGAACGCCCCTGCATCACCGTGAGGTGTACGGCAACGCAGTACGGCACGGGTTTGGACACGCCCTCCCACCCCCCTCCATGCTCCCCACTTCCCTCACCTCCCCCTCGCCCCTCTAGCACCCCTGAACGCCCCTGCATCACCGTGAGGTGTACGGCAACGCAGTACGGCACGGGTTTCGACACGCCCTCCCACCCCCCTCCATGCTCCCCACTTCCCTCACCTCCCCCTCGCCCCTCTAGCACCCCTGAACGCCCCTGCATCACCGTGAGGTGTACGGCAACGCAGTACGGCATGGGTTTCGACACGCCCTCCCACCCCCCTCCATGCTCCCCACTTCCCTCACCTCCCCCTCGCCCCTCTAGCACCCCTGAACGCCCCTGCATCACCGTGAGGTGTACGGCAACGCAGTACGGCATGGGTTTCGACACGCCCTCCCACCCCCCTCCATGCTCCCCACTCCCCTCACCTCCCCCTCGCCCCTCCAGCACCTCTGAACGCCCCTGTATCACCGTGAGGTGTACGGCAACGCAGTACGGCACGGGTTTCGACACGCCCTCCCACCCCCCTCCATGCTCCCCACTTCCCTCACCTCCCCCTCGCCCCTCTAGCACCCCTGAACGCCCCTGCATCACCGTGAGGTGTACGGCAACGCAGCACGGCATGGGTTTCGACACGCCCTCCCACCCCCCTCCATGCTCCCCACTTCCCTCACCTCCCCCTCGCCCCTCTAGCACCCCTGAACGCCCCTGCATCACCGTGAGGTGTACGGCAACGCAGTACGGCATGGGTTTCGACACGCCCTCCCACCCCCCTCCATGCTCCCCACTTCCCTCACCTCCCCCTCGCCCCTCCAGCACCCCTGAACGCCCCTGCATCACCGTGAGGTGTACGGCAACACAGTACGGCATGGGTTTCGACTCGCCCTCCCACCCCCCTCCATGCTCCCCACTCCCCTCACCACCCCCTCGCCCCTCCAGCACCCCTGAACGCCCCTGCATCACCGTGAGGTGTACGGCAACGCAGTACGGCATGGGTTTCGACACGCCCCCGCCCGCCCCCCTTCATGCTCCCCACTCCCCCCACCACCCCCTCGCCGCTCAAGCTCCTCTGACCACCCCTGTCGTACAGCGACTTTGTACGGCATGGCTTCAGGCACCGCGTATCACCAATCTTCTTGTTGCAATATCTTGCATTGTGATCTCGACTAAGCTATAACTGAATTAATGAGCCATTCGCTGTTTCTTGGTTACTTTCCTAAATCAGCGTCAAACTGTTTGGTGACCGTGACCACCCCCCTCCATGCTCCCCACTCCCCTCACCACCCCCTCGTCGCTCTGGCTCCTCTGACCACCCCTGTCGGATAGCGACACGGTACGGCATGGGTTCGGGCACCACGTATCACCAGTCTTCTTGTTGCAATATCTTGCATTGTGATGTCGACTAAGCTATAACTAAGTTAATGAGCCATTCGCAGTTTCTTGGTTACTATCCAAAATCAGCGTAAAACTGTTTGTTGACCGTGACCACCCCCTCCATACTCCCCACTCCCCTCACCACCCCTTCCTCGCTCCAGCTACTCTGAACATCCCTGTCGTACAGTGACACGGTACGGCATGGGTTTGGGCACCGTGTGTCGCCGGTCTCCTTGTTGTGATGTCTTGCATTGTAATGTCGATTAAGCTATAACTGATTTGATGAGCCATTCGCAGTTTCTTGGTTACTTTCAGAAATCGGCGTAAAACTGTTTG